GCTACTTGTACAGCATGGAAGACTCCCATTTCGGGAGTTTTTTACAGTAATTTAGATAGTCTCTAGTTTCTAAAACCACAGTCTGCCATTCTGAAAACATTCATATTATGTTCTTAAATGTATGGCTTTGCATGGCTTCCAAGAGAAATGTTTTCTCAAATACAAGGTGTAGCTTAAACTTGGCTGTATATGCAAAGAAAAGCTAATTACATAAAAACAAAAATATTGCCTCAAATCCAAAGAGCTTGAGACAGAAAAGTTTCTATTATTCCTCCTAAGAAATTAAAGCACATTTAAGCTGTTCTCAGAAGCTTGTTCTGAACTTCTTGGAAAGAATTCGGAGAAGCAGGACAAATAGCATTTCTTATGATTCTTCAGTCTTTTACAATGAATAACATTATTTAAAACTATTTAAAAGAAAATAATAATTTTAATCCAGTAGAGGTACTGGATATACCTGTGTATAATAAATAACAACTGACAGTAGCTTTGCTAATCTTAATCACTTTTTATGAATTTATGAGAAGTAGTCCATGAGGTCCTGAGGGGTCTGCAGATCACTAGGGGGAAAAACTCTGACCTATCCTGTTCTGGGGTTTATATTGTAGCACAGCAGCAGGCACATGTTGTTTAGATAATACAGAACAACTAAGTCTCCAGTCAGTATTGAAAAATAATGCCCCTGGAAGCTCAGGGGTAAGGTGTATGAATGTAACTCTGGCAATAAGTGGATTATTATCAGGTAATGTGATGTGGTGTATCACATGGATGACCACAGCTGATGGCTGTAACCAAGAAAGACAAAAAGCTAAGGCCCTGATCTTACGAATATGAATGGCATCAGTGGAACTGCTTCTAATTAGGCTGCTATGCCAACAGGTATCTTTACAGGTCTGGATGCCAAGGCAAGTGCAAGAGAGTGTAGAGAAAGTATGCATTTTCCTATTTTCATGTAGTGGAAAACAAGGGAATCAAAGCCTTAGGCTCTAATATCTGAAGGTGCTTCAGACTGTTTTGTAAAGCAAACTCCAACTGTCTGATTTTCACAGTGAAAAAATATCTCCGGGGGAGGATGTTTTTGTAGTAAAGTACAACTTTTTAGGATGTACAGCAATGTTTCATTATTGGGTAGGTGGGTGGGTGGGTGAGACAGCAGGATAAATGGCTCGGTTTGCATGGATGAGTAACAACCCAATTCCTCTAAGGTATGATTCTTTGGCAGACCAATATTGCTGTGGAGGCTGCATTAATTTATATTTGCATACTATGGGAATTTCTTTGCACAGATTGCCTTAATTCTGTGTCTGAGCTTATGTTGAATCTTCTCTGTGTTTATTACCTCAGACTATATTTGCTCAGGAATTCTGCTCAAATGGGAGTTCTTCACGCAGGGACCACAAGTGCATGGCATGAGGTAAAGCGATTTATGTGGAAAAATAAAGAAATCTACATTCAAGCATGCTTTTTTTGATAATGGCAAATGCACTATGTAATTTGGTGCCAATTTAAGATAATTTGCTTTCCTGCTAGAAAGATGTGAACTGAACCACAGTATGTGTTGGCTCTTTCTAGTCTTTGAAAAGTATCAAAGTTGAGGAGCCAGAGGGATAACGCTGGGGGCTGAGAACAGAGAGCGTGCGGTTTTATTCTTGCCCCGACAATTATGCACTATGTATGTGGCCACAGCGTTTAACTCTTACATGTCCCAGTTTCTCTGCCTGACAAATAGTGACTGATGCGTTCTACATAGGGAGCCAGTGCAGCACTAAAACTCCTGCTTTTGAAATCCGCTTAAATGTTTTGGAGAGAAGAGTTAATTGTTGCAGGGTAAGAACAACAGTGCCGCAGGCGGGATCCGGGTGCAGACACGTATCATTTCCCAGCTGCCAGTCGCGCAACGTTACATCCCAGCTGCATTTCCGAGCCCGCTCGAATACAAGCGAGGAGGCGGCCGGAGTCGGGCGGCTGCGCACCCCCGAGCTCGGGGAGCGACGAGCGGCGGGAGCTGTGCACTCGGGACCGCCAAGAGTTAACGGCGGCTCCCCCGGGGCCGCCGCCGCTTCCCCACCGCGGCGCTGCATTATTATTATTATTATTTCCCCCCCTTCCCTCGCCTTCCAGTTTTGGCATGGGATTAAAGCAGCTCCCCCCTGTGGCAGCAGTGACCCAGAAACGAGTTTGATTCACGGAGTCCTTCCTCCATAACAAGTACAAACGTCAGTCAGAGGGACTCTGTGCGTGTATTTTGTGTGCGTGTGTGTGTGTGTGCGCGTGTGGCCGAGGGAGCCGCTCTCTGCGCCCGCTCCCCGACGCCGCGCCAAACTCATGCGGCGGCCCCGAGCCCTCCGCGCAGGGGGAGCCCGGCCGCGCCGCCCGCCCTCGCCGCCGCGCCGCCACCAGCAGGTAACCGAGCCCTCCGCCGCGCCAGCCGGGGGAGCCGCCAGCACAGCCATATTTGATGGGGGTTTTTTGTCGCTCCGGAGGCGGCGGGAGAGCAGTTTCGTGCCGAAGGTCGCTGCCTAGTGGAAATAAGATAGTACGTCATTAACATGGCGCCAAAAGCTGTGCGATTCGGTACGGGGCGAGGGGAGGCGGCCGAGTTGTGGCTCAGCTATCCCACAAGCAACTTGTGCGGGGCTGGGGCGAGCGAAGGCGGGAGGGAGGGCTGCGCTGCCGCTCGGCGCGGCGGGCCAGTGCCGGGCAGCGGTGGCCGCCTTTTTGTTCCGCTGCGGAGGACAGCGCAGCTTCCCAGGTGCCAAGTGATCTGCGGGCGTGCCGTGCCTGCCATGCTATGCCGTGCATTGCTGTGCCATGCCCTGCCGTTCTGCGCCGCCAGCCCCGCGCCCCGGGCATCGCTGCAGGCTATGCTGCGGGGGGGGCAGCGCCGGGCATCATCCGCCCCGGAAAGTAGGAAGCGTTGGAGCAACTTGGTATCCAGATGGCAGTGGCAGAGCTCAAGTCCTACTCGGATACAGATGAGTAGGAAGGGGGCGGGGGAAGCCATGGCCACTGTCACTGTGTCACCCACATGTCCACCCTACCCGTCGCCTTTCGCCGCGGGCGGGGAGCGTGTACATGGGGGAGGAGGTGTTTGTCTGCAGAAGCAGCTTTGTAAGTTACACTGATCTTTCCCGTCCTTCCCCCCCGGCGCACTTGGCTTTGGCTTATAGAAGAAAATATGCTTGGAAAGCATAAAAACTGCTCATCGGTGAAATTAGACAAAAGTTGCCTTTCGGAGCGAGAGAGCTGCAGCCGGTTTAGCCGCCTACTCGATGGGCAGGATGGGCCTCTGCTGGAGGCGCGGACCGCCGGACTGTCAGACGTGCCCCGATCCCCCCGCGGCGGGCGCGTGGTGTCTCCAGCTGGAGAACAACTTGCCCGAGGCCCTAAGTGCACGTGTTTGAGAGTGGGAAAAGGCGGGGAAAGGCGTGCGGCGCTGCCCGGGCTCGCAGGGGCGCGGGGCGGCCGGCATCGGGGCAGCAGCCGGCAGGTGCACGGTGGCCCGGCAGCGCCCGACTACCGCCCCGGGTCCGGGAGGTGAATCGGGAGCGGGGCGGGGGGGCGCGGTGCTAACTTCGGCAGGGCGCGGAGGGGACCGGCCCCCTCCTGCCGCTCGGGCCGTGCCTGGGACAGAACGCCGGGGCTAATCCGCGTGGCCGGGCTGGAGCTTGTAGGCGCGGGAGCGGAAACGCTGCCGGCAGTGTCGGGGCGCGAACGTAATATCACAGGAGAAGGAGCGCGGGGAGCCGCGGCGCGCGCCCGAAGTTGCGTGGGCGGCGGTCAGGGCAGCTCCGCGATTTGGCTCTTCCTCGGTGCCTGGCAAGCGGGACGGGTCCGGGCTGCGGCATCTCGGCGGGGAGGTGAGTGCGGGTCCAGCCACCATTCCACTTGCTTCAATTTGTCAAAGCCGCCCTGCTGCTGCTGCCATCCTGCCCGTCCCTGGGTTCGGGTAGTCGCCTGCTTAGAATAGAATTTTGGGATTGTTTTTGTTTGTTTGGGGGTTTTGTTTTTCTGTTTTGTTTTGTTTTGCTTCTCCCTTGCAGTTCGCGCCCGCCCGTTCGTTCCTGATAGGCGGTGGGATGCTGATGATTTTGGGGAGGGTGGAGGCAAAGGGTGTTTGTTTGTTTGCACCGCTTGTTGGTTGGTTTCCTGTCACAAGAGGTGATAACACAGTTTCCAGAACTGTCTGGGAGTGGGAGGAGAGACAGACACAGAAAATGAGCTCAAGTCTCCTTCGAGCTGCCGCTCGATCCGCCGTCGCGTCCCCCCCTCCATCGCAACGTAGCGACGGGGGCGGGCGGAGAAGATGCCGTGGCCGTTGTCGTCAGTGACAGGGTTTTAGGGAGGGGCAGCGGCGCCGGGGGCACCAAGTTTGATTTGCAGCCGGGGCCGAGCGGATTGGTGCGGCCGAAGTCAGGGAGGAGCGGGAACGGGAACCGGGAGGGAGGAGGATAAGGAGGAGGCGAGCCGGGCCGTTTCATATGGAAGCCGAGGCCGGGCCGCTGGTCAGGAGGGTAACACCCCCGTGGGGGAGGTGTAGCCTGGCGGCACCCGGGCCAGGAGGCGGCTCCGTCTCCTCTCCTGGGCGCCGGCCGTGCCCCGGCGGTGCTACCGCGAACCCTCGGCGGGCGCAGTGCAGACAATCACCGCGCGCCGGGGTGGCTGCTGAGATGGCATCGCTGCGGGAGGAGGAGGAGGAGGAGGAGGAGGAGGAGAGCCGCCCTGAGGGGCACCCGGCCGAGCCAGGGCCGGCGAGCGGGGTGAACGTGAGGCGCCGCTTTTGAATTGACTCCCGAAACCTCGTTTCCCACCCCCTGGAGAGGCGGCCGCGAGCCCGCAGCCACTGGCGCGGCTCCGCGCACCTGTGAGCAGTGCCTGCTGCCGGCCAACTTCTCCCTGTCTTTCCTGCTCTTCAGCTGCCTGCTTTATTTTGAGAAAGTTTATTAGATTCACCCACAGGTGAGATCCAGGGGATCCTGAGACCTGTCAGTCGTCCAGTAAAAGCGGGCATGTGTGACCTCGTCTGAGTGGCCATACGCAGGCGTTAAAAATAGATTGTCTCTCCTTGGGTAGCTGTGAGGGAGTATTAGAAATTACGGTAGCATTTAGCAACACGTTTTAGTGGACATTTTAACGTAAAAGGCTGAAGATGCTTTTATACTAGCCACATTTTTAGACGAAGATTTAGCTGTCACTTGGAATAATTTCCTTTTTAAGCAGGCCCTGTCTTTTAACTAAGTCAAAAGCTGCCCACACTTGCAAACCTAAAACCTTCATAAAAGTTAGGCCAAAATATGCTTGTTATGATTCTGTTTCTACAGGTTTCTCACACCCAGTGGGATATTTTTGAAACAGCAAGGATTGTACGTTTTAGTGTCAGGATTTTCCCTCTGGCTTCCGATACCACTTCATCCCTCCTTTTGAGCTATGTTTGACATATATGCTTAAAATAAAATCATAACAATAGACTCCCCTTTCCCCTCACAGCTGCGGATTTCCCTTCCAGCTTCTCTGGTTTCATTCCTGATTGACAGACTATTGGAAAAAAAACCTTCAGTCTTTCCTCAAATGTTTTCTCTGTGTGGTTAGTACTGCTGCTTCACATTCCTGTTTTCAGCTGTAGCTGATCAAGTTGACCCCTTTTGCTAGATGGAAGAGATGAACTGCAGTGGGTATAGGTTGGGTTGCATTAATTCATGGAGCCCAGTTGGTCTTTGCTCAAGATTTTGGGTAGTCAGTTTCACCACCACAGTTTGGGAATAATTTGCTGCCACTGCCTGGGTAGTAAGGTAACATTATGACCTGGCTTGCAAAGGTGCATAAATGAGCATGAGGATTCCTCAGAAGTGTTGGGCTGATATGTCCAGATTGCGCTTCTCCCTTTCTTTGTGAAATTTTGAATGTGTACTGAAGTCAGTAGAAATATTCCTTTTGGAGAACACTCTTGTCCTTGGACCATACTGTTTTTGTGCTCCATAATACTGTAGTACTTAATTTAAGAACTCTTCATGTATCTTTGTGACTATAAAGTGTTGCTATCAAAGCTTGATGGGTGGTAAAGAGGAATTTTAAAGTTTTAAGTGGGTTTTAGTAGTATAACTTCTGATGCAGTTCCTTTTTTTTTGTTTCAGGTCTGGGATAGAAGCTAAAAAGCTTTTTGCAATGTCAGGTGCCACTGAAGACCAGGATGGTGTCATAAATAAACTATTTAAAAGAAGTGCAGTAATAGAGGCCAAAGGTCTTAATCTACTATCCATTTTGTTAAGCTGTGTCACACTTTACTTCCGTTTGTACAATAAGTGTTTTGAAGTGATTTCTTGTCTACTATAGATAATTAGGTCTTCATTTCATTGCAGTTACTGGGTTACTTTCAGGAAAAGCCAGTTTTCAGTTTGTCTTCAGAGTGTACATCTGTCATAATTCTGCTTTCTTCCCATTCTGTCTCTGCAGCTGTTCAGTGCAGTTTGTTGTTGTGGCACCCGTTAAACACGGTTACAGTTAATTGTCTGTCAGAGTTTGAATGATACACTCTTTTTACCTGGAGGTTTATACAACCCTTGAAAATACATTAGTAAGAATTGTGCTATGTAAAACCTTTGACCTGAGGGTGTAGATTTTTTCATGTGTAATTATTTTTTACATCTCATTCTGTTTAGCTATTTGCATAACAAAGACTGACACACTTTACATCTTTCTCTTTGATCTTCACTCTACGTGGGGTCAAACTGAGTGAAAAACTATGTGGTGTTCCTAAATGCGTGGTGTGTGCATAGTTCCTGACTATGTGATGTGTGGCTCGTGAATGTACGTGTGCACGTTCTGCTGTGCCAATTTTATGGGGTAGTGTTTGGATTTCTGCTCCGAGGAAGCTAGGAAAAAGGGCTTGGATGTTTTTCACTCTTATCTGTACAAGTCCTGGGACTTCACTGTGGAGAAAAAAGGAAGGGTCTTGGCATTGCTGTCCAGTGGGGTCTTTGGGTCTTGTTGATAATTTTATCTCTTGCAGAGTTAAGAATGGACTAGCAGGGTAATGCATACTGCTAAATATAACGAATTTGCTGCACTGTGTCATAGTGCTGAGTCTAACCCATTGCGCTGCATCTGCCATCAAATATTGGGAAGTGGTCAGAAAAGTCTGTGTTACTACCTGTATGTAATAAATTGTATAGACTTAGATGCTTGTTGCTCACCTCCACATAGATATGTAAATTCGAGTGCTGTTTTGTGGCCTTTGATTATATTGGATTATCATCTAGTCATTTCATTTACATAGCATTTTACAAGTATTTTGAAAAAGGCCTACTGCTGTCTCCAAAATACAGTAGCCACTTTCAGGCAGTGTAATCTTGCCTTTAAAAACAGTCTGAGCAATTGTGTCTTTGGAGTCCAGAGTTGCATTTGTATGTTTAAAGTTGGTACCTAATCAATGAGTAAAATCCAGAGCATAACTTCCAGAGCAAGCATGATGCAAAAGGACAAAAAGCCACTGGTGATGTGTCTCTGTAAAACAGTCACAATCTCAGTCCCTTCTATGCCATTTATCGCAGTGGTGTGATTGCATGAAGTGCTTTTACATGCTTTGTCTGCCCTTGGAATTGGAGTAACATTGCCAGCAGAGTCATGGCTGTTTCTCAAAAACTGTGTTTGGTTAAGGCTGGCATTACTTTGAGTCTTTTGGCTTCCCCTCCCCAGTAAATGGGTAAATGTTATAGTAGAGTCCTCAGGAGAAAACACTATCAGCATGCTATGTGTTGGTCTGTTTGGGTTCTGAAAGGATGATTTTAACACAAAGAAACAATCATCTTTCAAGGAAATGAAACTGAAAGTTTACCTACATTTTTAAGTCTGAGTTTTTAAGACTTAACAGGTTTCACTGAAAACTCCTAGAATGTTTGGCTTGTTAATGCAGCTTTTGTCACCTTAGGGTTGCTGAACTCTGTGGTAGCTTTCCTAGTGTTGGGCTTTCTCTTCAGTTGAACAGTATGTGGGCAAATGCCCTTTTGGGAGTGGTGTCAGAATTTGGGAAAAACAACTGTAGAAACATTTGATAGAAGATCCAAGATTCAAGGGCACTGCTTGATTGTCTGCTTCCTTGTTTTAGAGGAGTGTTTCTTTTTCGAAGGGGGTTGGGAAGTTACCCTGTGGCATGTGTGGGTGCAGTTAATGTTTTGTGGAAACTTCTGGGCTGGATAGCAATTACGTGGTTGCATGCAGTTGGGAATTGAGCTTAGTAACCTGCATGGTCTCTTCCTGTCCTCCAAATGTTGCAGGCTGGGTGCATAGTTTTTACTTACTCTTGGTATGAATCTTAAAGCTGGGCTCAAATGTTTTACCCTTTTTATGCTTGCACGTGAACTCTCTTTGCTTATAGGCATTGTGATCACAGTGTAGGTCTCTACTTAAATAGGAAAAGCCTGCACCCTCTGTCTGCACCCCACTGTCGCTATCCATAATCTGTGTATATTTTTAATGCAATTCTTGTGTGACTTTGACTCATCAACAGCCTGATAGAAACCAATAGTCTTTGGGGCAGAGACGCTGTGATACCCTTAAAAGCAGCAGCATTTAAATCTGTGTGGTTTTATTAGCTGTCCCAGTGCTGTCTCTAGAACCTGTGTTCTGAACTATGGATATGAACATCTGATGAGAGCAGTTTAAAATTATTTTAGAAGTTGAAAAAATGGTGTTTTATTACTTCTAATGACAAAAATTCTAGGTGGCTAATTTATTAGATTTGAGTCTTACTCTTAGAAGCCAAATGATTCTTTTTCATCTGTGATTTAGCTCCCTGTAAACTCAGGTTAGGATCAAAGATGGGAAAATGAGATCTCTGTGTTTTGATTTTTTTCACATGCACAAATAAAGCAATCTCACAGGAGCTTCATCAAATGACATATTTCTTTTAATGTTACTATTGAGAACACAGGTTTTTCAGCATGACCAATTTCAGAAACCTGACTAGAGTGGACAAGAAAATTAGCTACCTTATCTAGTACTCTGTACTCCAGGAAAGTGGGTTCTGTTCTGGCTTATTTCCTGAAAAACTGGAGAGTGCTTGAATTCGGAGGTGTGAATACCACTCTCTCCTTGAAACAGCAAAGAGATGTGTAGTTTGTTTTTTAAAGACTTTGATAGGAAGAAGAAGCCTCCATCTCTCATAATTTTTTTGAATTTGCAGAAAGTGTGGCTAGGAGAAGATCAACTCAAAATGCACTAACCCAGGAAGATGTGGAAGAGCAGAATTTAGAATTTTCTTGTTCATCGCAAGTTCACAAGTGTGTCTCAGTGTACATACACTTTGTTATATTGCTTTATGGTGCATCTTTTCAGACTCTATAGGAATGAACCAGGAAGTGAGGAATTGGACCAGAAATATACAAATTAGGTTTCTGAGATAGAGCAATTTTTCATTTTGTTCCATATCTTCTTTGCTTTGTTTATGGGATGTTTTCATTGGTAGTGAGTATCTTCTTTTACATTGTTATTAATAATAAGTGAACTAATAGAAAAAGTACCTTACAGAATAGTTATCCCCCTAGTTTTGTCCTCATAACAGTTAATTGATTTTTCAGTTCTGTCTTAGCTTGTCTTGGATCTGAATCTTGACTTTCTATCTTAATAACTGACTGTATCAGAACTGATACAGTAATTGACTGGCTCTGAATCTCCTGCATTTATATGAGATCTGTATTCAGAAGATTTTGGTGGTCCAGACTGATCTGTGTGTGTATTCACTTGCAGCATTTCCATCTGCCATACACACAAAGTTTTGGCCTGCTTCAAAGCAGTCCTTTTGAGAGAATTCTACCACTGTAAGAGGCTGTCATTTATGATTCTTTATTCCCTGGCATCAGACATTGTATGTCAACTTTTACTCTATGAAATGGTGACAAAAGGTCTTGGTAAGGTGAACCATTCAGTTTCTCTTTAGTGAACAAAGTTTGCAGCTGAAAACTGTTACATGTTTCAAAGACAGAGGTATTAAATCCCACTCTGAAAAGCCACTCTGTGGGAGGGAGACTTCCCCCTAACTTTGTTTGCAGGTATAATATGAAAAAGGAGGCAATCCTGCAATGCTTGGGCTCTTACAACTATATCAAATTCATTGGAAGTGTAAAATAGAATCTCAGGTTCAGCTGCTTGTGATTTGCTAAAATGAACTCCCTCAAAAATACTAATTTCTTTTTATATTAAGAAGAACAGATATTTTTGTGCTCTTTTGGAAATAGTGTCAGGCTTTCGTTAGGCTTTTTGGATTTCCTTATTTTGGGGATTAGTCTTATAAGAGTGTGTAAAATACTTTCATAAAAGTATTATTGAGTTTCCTACAATGAGCCATATTGTCAGTGAACAAAGTTGAAGCAGTTAATTCTTATACTGAAGGGTCAATGAAAAGAGTTTTGTTGAGAGGTTCTGAGGAAATACAAATGCATGTGAAAATAAGAAGGTTAGATTTTCTACACCTACTTAGAAGCAAAAAAATATTTTGGCATCTGATCTGTAAATCTGTACCCCAGAGGCGTAGCAGAATGCCCAAACCTTGTTGATATCTCGATTGATACGTGGTAAGCAAAGACTTAGGGGTTTTGATGTGCATGTAGAGTCCTTGTCAGTTTAACTTATGGTGGATATGCCTTTCTGCACTTGTCGTGTTTTTTCTGTTCTTCAACTTATACTTTTTAATAGCTTTTTACAATATTGACTAGCTATTTACAGCTTCCTTGATTTTTCTGGATTTGGTTTTCTTCCAGAGAGAATACACACGAAAGTACCAGCACCCTGAGAATAGCAGTTAAAAAGACTGGGAATTTTTTCCCTGTACATCACTGGCTTGTGTGCAGTTGAACTCAATATGGGTAGGAATCTGATGGTTTGGAAGAACTTCTGAATAATCAGTCTTATTCACAAAGAACAGTTAGTGTTAGGAATGACGCTAGAAATATGCGTGCACCTTAGAGGGTGGTGCTTTCCAGGGCATAGATGATGCATGTTTAGTTAATCTGGGAAAACTGGGCTTGCTACTGCTATGTTTAATTTTTTATGTATAAGTGGATGGCTTTAATCTCAGATATTGTAAATCTGGCATTTTAAACAGGCATAAAATGGTTCTAAAAACATATTAGCCAAAGTAAATATTTACACAAGCAGTAAAAGTGTTATTCTGTTGCAAATCTAACGTCAGAATGGGCAGAGGAAGTTTACCACATTAACTGTAGATATTCAGTAAGACCTCTCAGGACAAAATAAGCTTTTGTTGTGGGGTGAAAGGATTGGTGGGGTTGTCACTGATACTCTCCAGTGTTGTTCACCTGCTCATATAATGACTACCTAATTAAGCATCCTTGAGAGATTCACTGTTCATATTTCAGCTGCTGCTTAAAGTTGTTTGTTTTCCTTTGTGTAAATCCTCACATTCCATCAGAAACACAATTGATGATGGTGTGTTATTACCTTGGGTTAAGTGCTGTCTCATTGCTTCATAGGCTCCCTGCTGTTTTCCAAGGAGATCATGAAACGACATCGGCTTCCTAGCAGCAGCGAGGACTCTGATGACGATGGCAGTAAGTGCTCCTTTGTTGTAGAGTGCAGGAGGTTATGAGTTTGAAAACATGTTTTAATGCAGTGTTTTATGTGCCAGAGGCATTTTGCATATTTGTTGAACTGGTAGAAATGTGTATGGTAAGGATCTAGTTTTGAACTCAGTTATTCTGAGCACAGATGGACAGTAGATTCAGGATCCTCCCGTTGAATTATATAGTTTTAGTTGATAAGAGGAGAAGTCAGTGGTCATCTTTAAAGGTCTTTGCAAGTAGCATAATTTATCATTGCAAGGACGGAACAAGCATGGAGACATCTGCTGACATTGTCCATAGAATTTTGCATAAGGATTTTAAATTTGCTTCAGTGTTCTCATACTCTCTTATACAGTGGAATAGTGCTTCAAGCTTAAGCAGAAAAGATTGATGGAACATGAAAGTGTTCCTTGCTTCATTTGAAGATTATCTTTGAGGAACAACTTTCAAGAATTTGAATTCAGTAAATCAGTAATTTGGATACAGAATGTATTTATGTTTTTTAACTGTTTCTGTACTGATATAACTAAGACTGAGCTCTGTGTGGTTGTAGTGGGTTGATCCTGGCTGGATGCCAGGTATCCACTAAACTCACTCTTGCCCCTCTCTGCAACTGGACAGAGGAGACAAGACATAACGAAGGGTTCATGAGTTGAAATAAGGACTGGGAGAGATCACTCACCAATCACCATCATGGGCAAAACAGACGCAAAGTAGGAATATTAATTAAATGTATTACTAACAGGATCAGAGCAGGAGAGTGAGAAGTAAAATAAATCTCAAAAACGCCTTTCCCCACCTCTCCCTTCTTCTGAGTTCTACCTCCTCCTCCCTAGTGGCACAGGGAGACAGGGAACTAGGGTTGCGGTCAGTTGTTTCTCCCGCTGCTTAGGGAGAGGAGTCCTTTCCCTGCTCCCTGTGGGGTCCTTCATGAACCTTTCTGGCATGAGTCTATCCCACAGGCAACAGTTCTGCACAAACTGCTGCAAAGTACTCCACGGGGTGCAGTACTTCAGGCACAGCCTGCTCCAGCGTGGGTCCCCCACAGGGTCATAAGTCCTACCAGGAAAACCTGCTCCAGCACGAACTCCTCTCCACCGATCAGCAGGTTCCTGCTAGGAGCCTGCTCCAGCATGGACCTCCCACAGGGTCACAGCCTGCTTCAGATACCCACCTGCTCTGGTGTGGGTCTCCTCCACAGGCTGCAGGTGGACCTCTGCACTCCTGAGATCCTCCATGGGCTGCAGGGGCAGAGCTGTCTCACCATGGCCTTCACCATGGGCTGCAGGGGAACCTCAGCTTCTGCACCTGGAGCATCTCCTCCCCCTCCTTCTCCACTGACCTTGGTGTCTGCAGAGCTGTTCACATGTTCTCACTCCACTCTTCTCTGGCTGCAGTGTTCATCTGCACAACAATTTTTTTCTCCTTAAATATGTTACCTCAGAAGCGTTACTGTCATTCTGGATTGACTCAGCCTTGGCCAGCGGCAGGAAGCCCATCCTGGAGCTGGCTGACACTGGCTCTACTGGACATGGGGGAGGCTTCCAGCAGCTTCTCACAGAAACCACCCTTGTAGCCCCCCCACTACCAAAACCTGGCCACAGAAACCCAATGCAGGGGTAATCTTTCTCTTGTGTTTGGATTCCAGTGATTGATAATCTTTCATTTAAGCAGAAAAAAGGAGGAGGGGGAGGCAAAATGGCAGTTTGGGAAATGTGCTAAGGTGTTTTGTTTGCCCAAATAAGATTGTACTTGACAATAGTGCAGCTTAGCCTGTTGTCAGAAATTTTCCTAGTTTTAATATGATCTGTCTGGGTGCATGTCTTCAAATCTGAAGTCTTTTGTAAAACTTCAGTCTGAAATGTAACAGAAAATGGTCGAGGTGGTTTTCCAGGTCCTTTTGAAAGCTTTGCTCTGAGAACTTAGCCCTGTGCTGTGCTGCGGCTCTGTACATGAATGCTTCACCCACATGCATTTCTAGGGGTGTCTTTGCTGCATGGGAGTCTGCTCAGGTATGGCTAGATCTTCCTCTTAAAACAATCTTAGGCAAACTATTGCTGAAATGAAGCAGTAAATTATTAGAGAAGGTAAGAACTAGCAAGCTGATTAGGAATTAGTCCAAATGAGGATTGGGTAACATCTATTAGAGGTGAGGGATTTCCCTTGTTTTTGGAGAACCACCTGCAGTCGGGGAATTTTGGAATAAGAAAAACCCAAACAAAATAGACCTGTTTTTCTTGGTTAGAAGTTTACTTGGGGTTATAAAAATTGAAGTCGGTGCATTTCCTCAAAGGCGATGTGTACTTCCCAAAAACAAAGGTGTATTTTTATTTGTAAAATAGGCAAGTAGCAGCAAACATGATGTCTTCCATTAGAATTTTGCTTCACCCTTTTTTATTCCCTAGTAGCTTCATAAAGTGTTTCATATTGATAATAGTCTTTATTTCCACTCCCTTAGCTGCGTTTTTTCTTTCTTCCATCCCTTCATGTACCTTATGTTACAGGCTTTACCAAATAAAATCTGAAGCAGCTAATTTTGTAATTGAAGTCCTGAAATAGATACAATTGACTGACCTGTTGCTGATTATAGCGCTTGTTTGTAATGTCATTTGATATATAACTATTCAGAATAGAGTTGTTGACTTTGGAAATATGTTCTCCACAAAATCTGTTCCATAGATCAAGATCTAAGAAAATGAGTTCGGAAAAGAAAAGCAAACCCCGTGTCCTGCTAGGGTGTCTCTATTTTAAAGCCTACTTATTACAAATAACTTTGTTGAATAAATGGCATGGCAAAGGCAGTGAATTTAAAATATTTTCAAGGATTATTTGAAATATATACCACGTCCCTTTCATTACGCTTTTTTTTCTTGATTATGTTTTTTTTCCTCTTTTGAAGTTAGTTGGCAAATTCAGATACAGGTTCCTGCATATTCATTCTATTACTTTATACGCATTCAAACAGATTAAGGGTTATTAATCAGAAGCCCAGATAACTTTGAATGTGGTGTCAGCACCTCCAGGGCTTTTTGTCATTCACGCTTCCTTGAGAAGAACGACTGACATTCAGACCCTTTCTCTCCACTTTTCCTGTTATAGAAGATACTAGTTGTTCCTTGCAACTATGTTTGAATGTCAAGGGGCTCCTCTTACAGATTCACCTTCACGGGTTCTTTTCTTGCCTTTAGTAGAATTACTGATTACTCTTACTGTTTGTTTCTGTATTCTTACTCTGCCAGTAGTATCTCCAATCCACTGTACTTGCAGTAATGTTAGAAGGGTAAGCAAGTTTTTGCACTCACTATTGAAGTCTTTAAGTTCACTAGCTATTTTTCCTTCTTGGAATTTCCAGAGACAGAAAACAATTAAATTGACTATTCTGGGAGCTTCAGACACGTCTTTTAATTGAAAAGTTGAAATTTTAATCAACACTTGGAATCCTATTGCCAAACATCTGCTTCCCTTCAGTCAGTGGTACCTCTTGACCCTCCAGTGGGCTTTTTGCATTCCCATCATTCTGAACTCAATAGTCTTTGAGTTTAGGGCTCAGCACTGCTCTCCCTTATCTCTCAAGGTGAGGATTGGGCCTCCAGCTGTTGTTTTTCTGCAGTTCTGAAGCTGAGTTTTCATACTGTGCCTTACTAGGCTGATCAGACATCTCAGATTCATCATGTGTGTCAGTGGATAAATGTGGTTGGAGTAACTGAAATCATGGCGCTTTTATGGAGTGAACTCCAGCATGTAGAGTAGCGCCACCAGGAAAATACTTTGGTATGAAAAAAATCTATTATTTATTCTGTTAAACTCAGGAACCTGAATATTTGTAATACAATAATAATGATGCTACTAATAATAGAATTTATCTTTAAAAAAAAAGTGTTGTTTTCCATTGGGTCACTGACCTGAATCAGTTTCTGTCTCAGTTTAATGAGACAGAAGTGTTTTGCTAAGGAGGATGAGTTATGGGGTAGACCAAACTCCTCTCTCTCAGCAATTGTAAATCTGAAATTAAGAGGCTCCAATCGAGGAAGTATGGAGAAAGAAAAAAATAACAGCCCTTTATTAAAGGATATATGTGTATTGGCAGGACAACAAAAGAACACAAATGCAACTATACAATAATCCTGTACCCAAAAGTCTCCTTCAAAAAAGAAACAGTTCGATACTTCCCGTCCTTTGGTGCAATTCTAATCACAGTCAGCAGGGGGCACTGTTGGATCAGCTGTCTGCGACTGGCTGTGGCCAGGATTTCCCCTCTTCATGGATGGGCACAAATGACTGCCAAAACAGGGAAGTGGAGGAGGGAAAAGGGCGACCCCCTCCCCAAAAAGTTCCTCTGCAGGTGGGCCAAACCTTTCTGATGAAGTCTGAGCCAGTCCGGGCCGAGGGCAGAGCAGGGTACAGACAAACTGAGGCCAGAAAACAGCCGGATGACCAGGCTGAGAGCAAAATGGCCCTGGAATCTTTTCAACACACACACCTTGCCTAAGTTAAGGCAAAAGTGAAGTGTCCCTTTTCGGAGGAGAGAAGAAAAAAAACACATCACCCCTCCCTGCAGTTTTAGGAAAGGCCATCAGCTTGGAATGCAGGTCTGCCAGTTAGTTCTTCTGTATGGGTCAGTTACCCCTTCCCCCTCCCTCATTTAACATCTTTCTTTTACAGCAAGACAGGGGAAGGAAAAATTGCTGCTTGGATTTTTAGAACAAGTAAACCTATGACAGTTTCCTTGATAGTCACAAGGTGATAGAAAAACAGAGCTCATACCGCAAGCACTAAAAATACATTATACTGAAAATATAATAGTTCTTCAGAAGAAAAAAAGGTGCTCTCATTTTGTGAGATGAAAGAAGAGAGAGTGGTTTTCATGTAGGGGTGAAATACAGAAGAGAAGAAAGCTTAACAACATGACTGCAGTCCTAGAGTATATACATGTATTTACTGACTTATGTAAGTTATTTTATTGTTGGTCGTTATGTGTTATTTGCAGT